CAGCAGGTTATTGAACAAGTGGGATAGTTTAGCTCTGAAGCCCCAATATTCCCAAAGACTTACAGCCTCCAGATGAATGAGGAAGGAATATTATTAAGGACTAGTGGTCACTGCATTAGTATTGAGAGGAAGATTCCTCTGCTAGTGCCTGTGACTCTGAGGCAGAGGTGGGCAATCATTTTTGAAAGGGGGCCACTTCACAAATTTTGGACGTGGCCGCAGGCTGACCTGGAAGGGGCGGAACTTGAGCAGAAGGGGCGGGATTGAGAGCTACCGTGCTGGGAGCTTTGCTTGGCCTGGGGTCCCTGACCAATGGAAGGAACCTGGAGCCGAGGGGAGGGTGCTGGGGGCCTTTTGAATAGAAATAGGGGCTTATGGCTCCCAGGCAATGGGCTAGTGGGATTGAGAGCCACAAGTCCTTTCACTTTTTTGATCTGAGGAAGTGGGTCTGGCCCACGAAAGCTCATCATCTAATAAACCATCTGGTTAGTCTTTAAAGTGCTACATTGTCCTGCATTTTGCTTCAAGTCCTTTCACCTGATTCTTAAAGGGCTTGCACCTGCCGGGTGGCCACTAGGGTTGCCAGGTGTCTGGTTTTCGCCCAGACTGTCCGTTATTCGGGTCCCCCGCCTGGTAAAAAAAACAGAAAATACCAGACATGTGAAATGTCGGGTATTTCCTGTTTCCCTCGGATGGAAGCCCAGTGGAGACAATTTTCCTCTGGCATGGGTGGGGCAGTGAGAGCATGGGGCCAAAAGTGCCCCCCCTTTTTTGCTCACTAACTTTGGTCCCCCCCTTTTTTTTGAGGGGTGTGTGTATGTGCGCGCACAGTATTTTTTGTTAAACCATCTGGCAACCCTACTAGCTGCCAGGCAATGCAGCTGCCCAGCAAGCATGAGGCCTTTAAATAGAAGTAGTTGAAAGGGCTTGCGCATCTCGGGCTCCCAGGCAACACGCTAGGGGGTGGGGCCTGGAACTGCCTTGTGGGCTGGATCAAAGCCCTAGGCGGGCCGGATCTGGGCCACTGAGTGGCTTTTGCCCACTCCTGCTCTGAGGCATGATGGGGAGTTTTATACCTGATTTCAGCAGGCACAGAATCATCCCCAAAATATTTAAGAACTAAAATCATCCCCAAAATATTTAAGAACCCCAGGGGTTCAGTAGGCAGCTGTTAAATAGCCAAGGGGTGCGTGCTGGTGAGGGAAAGCAGCCATCTAACCAGGGGTTCAGTAGGCAGCTGTTGAATAGCCAAGGGGTGCGTGCTGGTGAGGGAAAGCAGCAGTTGTGCTATATGTAAGAAGTCTGAGCCAGGTGTAGTAACATATGGGCCAAATACTGCCAAGTGCTGAGCACTCTTGACTCAATTTACTGTAATGGAAGTTGAATCTGCTCAGCTCTGCACAAGATCCAACCCCCCATAGTGCTTGCAGCCACACCCAGCAATTGCAATCTAAGATTGTGCCAAGGTCCTTGGGCTGGAAGCAATGTAAATGAGCAGCCAATGAACATCCTTGTAAACTAAAGCATTCTCAGTGTAGAATGCTTAAATCACGTTCATAGGGATGAGGCAGAAATGCCAGGCCTTGCAGGCCTGCTCTATGCTCAAAAGATCAGCGATCCCATGGCTAAATTTTATTATATTCATTTTCAGAGCGCATTGGTATGCACACATTTCTGGTCATAGTTTGGTAAAGAGCTGAAAACGCGAACAAGCACTGGATTCTCTTTTAAACAAAACCACCATTTAGGGCAACCTGTGAGTGATGCAGAACAGAGATTGATGGGGTTATTTTGGGCAGCAGTCAAGCCAGAGGAAAAACAATCTCACAAGAAGTAGTTTTAAAACTATGCCCATGGAAAACTAGTCAGGGATGCTCAAGAACAGGACCACCTTACTGATCAGTAGATAATGGCTTTGAACCTCTTGGCTTTAAACTGTCACTCTGCTCTCTAACATGAAGAGGGGAGGGAAATGAGAGAATGAAAAAGTTATTCCATAGAAAGCCTCCAGAAAGTCATTCTGCTGTGAGTTACACTGGAGAAGATTCCTCTAAACTGATGGAAGATTCAGCTGCCAGTTCCACCTGGTGTCTTGTTTCTCATGTGAGCGCTCCCAAAGCTTGCATCATGGTCTTACTGTCATTTTTTAAGTTCCGCGAATTATGAGCGGGGTGAACTTTTATTTTTTCTTGTGTGTGTTTACAGAGAGCGAGGCGGCGGCATTAAGCAATGGGAATGGAGTGTATGTGCTTGTGGTTTTGAAGTGTGAGTGTACTGACTTGCATTGCTCACCTGCCTGTTTTAACTTGTACTGTTTGATCTTTGTCAGTTTGAAATGAATTTAAGATGCTTTTTTTTATTCCTGTTATTTGAGGAAGGTATTTACAGGTTTGCTTTAATGTCTGATGTGCATTTTCATCTGAGTTCCCTGTTTGCCGAGGCTCTCTTCCCCTCTGCATGGAGGGGAGACAGAAGACTTCACCAGAAGGCTGTAGTGGGCTGCCTTTAGAGTGTCATGGAACCCCATAGAACTCCTTCCACGAGCACTCTGCAGGACTGGGAGCCGTGATAGTGGCTAAAACCTGTCCTCCCAACATTTTCCCCTTCCAAGGCGGTAGATATCTGAACCTAGACTGATGCTGCTCGTAGTGGCCATTCTGCCCCTGTATCTGCCAGGGGAGTTATGCAGGCCATACAGAGCCTGAAAGCGATCCAGTCAGGGGAGAGGGAGGAGTGGGATCTCGGAGGAAGTGGGGAATTTCCTTCCTCATGGATCCAGAGATCCACTCCCTGTCCTCAAACATCTCCCTCAAGGGAATAATGCCAGGAAACTCTGAACCTGCAAGATGCTGAACAGCCTACCTGCTGCTGACTTTGCTGGGAATTGAGGGCACTCGGCACTTTGCAAGACCAAGGCTTCTGCAAGGTCAACCTGGCACACTTTCCTGGGCCATCTGTATCTTTTGCCTTGGGCATTTTGGCAGGAGAGGGAGAGTAGGTCTTAAGCCATTTAAATCTGCCTCTGTGGAGAGGTAAGAGAAAGATAGAGCTATCACAAGAAGTGCAAGCAATTCTGGCTTAAATTGCCTGGCTTATAAACATGATATCTCTATTGTTAACATGCACATGCAGTCTTTTGTTAAATGAGCTCTTGAAAACAGTATCAGCTGAGAACAGCATCATGCTCTGAAAGTTAGTCTAGCCTTTACCTGTGGAAACAGCTTTGCTCTTTTAATTTGCTTTTAAGGTAAAGGATATTTTCAAATCCCCATTTTGCATATGATTATTCATCACAGCCAAAGAGTTATTTAAATTAAAACTACCTAGGGTTTCCTTTCAAAAACTCAAGTTTAATAGATTTTTAGCTCAGCTCATGCTCTTAAACACATATATGAAAAATTGCAGTAAAGACATGTGTGTTTTAAAATAGCATGAAAAGTAGTTAGTCTAAAAAATTCACAGAACTGTAGTGTCTATTAAAAGATTCCTGATTCTGCACTACTGAAGTCTAATGGAGGTTTGTCATTTCCGTGGGAGCAGAATTGAGGTTTTTTGGTTTTTTTGGGGGTTTTTTTAAGGCATGTTGTCAAAAATGCTCTGGTTGTGGGTGAGAATACAGTGACTTATGATCAGGGAGAAATAAGGGTCTTTGGGGGACAATTGTTCATCGTATTACCATAAAATTAATTAATGGATTTTTTAAACATTTTTTTTCATTGGATAGAGAGGGCACAGCCCTGCTTCTTCTAACTTCAGGGCAAGGAGTATGAGGCCCCCAAAGCAAAACACCGTGCTTTCTTCTTCTGTCTTTGTGTATGTCTGTGGAATTACAATGGGCTGGTGCTTTGTATAATAGAACTGCCAAGTGCGTGATGTCACTGAGACCTCCTTGTAGTGATAGCAAGTATCTCTAGGTTTCTGGGCTAGCTTTTGCAGGTGAATGTGGGATTCATTGGTCCTTGCTTATACTGGGCTGCATGATTGTGTCACACACTGCTGAAGTCATTACAGCAGGGATGGGATGGGTCAACAACATATGCTGTCCCCATCTTAAAATATTGCCTGAGCATGAGATTGGGGCACTGTGAGAGGACTTTCCCTTATCCCATCACATGGCATGTCCACTTTCTATGGCACTTGCTGTATGGCACTGTTCTGTGAACCGTAAGAAAGGCAGAGCTAGCAGTCTGCTCATGGGCTTCTGGAAATACTGGCCTTTTGAAAGAGCCACTAAGGGCACGTCTACACTGGGAAATGATTTCAAAATAATTTACTTTGAAATAACTCCCAAAATAACTATTTTGAATGTGTCCACATTAAAGGGAAGCCTCAAAATTAGTCCAAGGCAGGCTCCCTTAATATGGACGCACTACCTCGACTTAGAGCCCCAGGAAGTCCTGGGGCATAATTATTTTGAGTGACCGTGGGGAGTAGTTATTTCAAAATAGCAGCACCGGCGTGTCCACACTAGCGCCATTTCAAAATAACTATTTTGAAATAAGCGTTATTCCTCATGGAAAGCAGGAGTTATTTTGAAATAACCAGCCCCTTATTTTGAAATAACAGGCTTGGTAATGTGGATGCTTGTCTTATTTCAAAATAAGGGGGGTTATTTCAAAATAACTCCCTAGTGGAGACCTGGGCCAAGAGGGTTCACAGGGACATAGACTGAGGATCAAATTCAGGCTTTTCTAATTCTAAAATTCCTGAGCCCAATAAAAGGGAAACAGATGTTCGTGCAGCAGAGTGCACCACCTGCCAGCCTGAGGATAGAAGTTAGGCATAATTTGTGCCCTATGTGAAAATATAACATATAATCTAGTTCAATTAGATAAGTCACCTCATAGAGACTGTCCCCCATATACCTCTAGTGCTTGCTGCAAAAATAAATTAATAACTTGTTTCCAGAACTATTTTTATGCCCTTACTAATAAGGATCCTTGTTCTCAATGCAGCTGGTCTGCAGTATACACTCGAGC